CAGAAGGTTACTGGGATCTACTGGGATCCTCCAGGGGGGCTACTGGGAGCTCCAGAAGGCTACTGGGGGCTACTGGGATGGTCCAGGGTGGCTACTGGGAGCTCCAGAAGGTTACTGGGAGCTACTGGGGGCTACTGGGATGGTCCAAGGGGTTACTGGGAGCTACTGGGAGCTACTGGGATGGTCTGGGGGGTTACTGGGAGCTACTGGGAGCTACTGGGAGCTACTGGGATCCTCCAGGGTGGCTCCTGGGAGCTCCAGAAGGTTACTGGGAGCTACGGGGATGGTCCAAGGGGCTACTGGGAGCTCCAGAAGGTTACTGGGAGCTACTGGGGGCTACTGGGATGGTCCAAGGGGTTACTGGGAGCTACTGGGAGCTACTGGGATGGTCTGGGGGGTTACTGGGAGCTACTGGGAGCTACTGGGAGCTACTGGGATCCTCCAGGGTGGCTCCTGGGAGCTCCAGAAGGTTACTGGGAGCTACGGGGATGGTCCAAGGGGCTACTGGGAGCTCCAGAAGGTTACTGGGAGCTACTGGGAGCTACTGGAATGGTCCAGGGGGGTTACTGCGAGCTACTGGGAGCTACTGGGATGGTCCAGGGGGGGGATGGTCTGGGGGGTTACTGGGAGCTACTGGGAGCTACTGGGAGCTACTGGGATCCTCCAGGGTGGCTCCTGGGAGCTCCAGAAGGTTACTGGGAGCTACGGGGATGGTCCAAGGGGCTACTGGGAGCTCCAGAAGGTTACTGGGAGCTACTGGGGGCTACTGGGATGGTCCAAGGGGTTACTGGGAGCTACTGGGAGCTACTGGGATCCTCCAGGGTGGCTACTGGGAGCTCCAGGGGCGTTACTGGGAGCTCCAGAAGGTTACTGGGAGCTACTGGGGGGTACTGGGATGGTCCAAGGGGTTACTGGGAGCTACTGGGAGCTACTGGGATCCTCCAGGGTGGCTACTGGGAGCTCCAGGGGCGTTACTGGGAGCTCCAGAAGGTTACTGGGAGCTACTGGGGGGGCTACTGGGAGCTACTGGGATGGTCCAGGGTGGCTACTGGGAGCTCCAGAAGGTTACTGGGAGGTACTGGGAGGTACTGGGCTGTCCCCTCACCGGCCACCTCGGCGATGTCCCCGGGGACGAGGTCCCGGGCCTTGATGCGCTGCACGGCCTTTCGGTCGGCGCGATAGACCTTCCCCATCTCGGGCTCGTACTCCTTCAGCGCCTCGATGGCGTTCTCCGCGTTGCGCTCCTGCCACCGGCGGGGGAGGGGACACCAGTTGGGGACACCCCGGGGACACGGGGGGACACCGGGGACACCAGGGGACACCATAAGGACGTCCAGAGACACCATAAAGACGTCGAGAGACACCATAAAGACGTCGACAAGCACAAGAATGTGAGGAGAACATCAAAGGAACATCAGGAGAACATCAGGAGAACATCAGGAGGGATCAAAGGGACATTGGGGACACCAGGAGACACCATAAAGATGTCAAGAGACACCATAAAGACGTCGACAACCACAAAAACATGAGGAGAACATCAAAGGAACATCAGGAGAACATCAGGAGAAGGTCAGGAGAACATCAGGAGGGATCAAAGGGACGTTGGGGACACCACAGGGACATCAGGGGACACCACGGGGACACCGGGGGACACCATAAGGACGTCGAGAGACACCATAAAGACGTTGACAAGCACAAGAACGTGAGGAGAACATCAAAGGAACATCAGGAGAAGGTCAGGAGAACATCAGAAGGGGTCAAAGGGATGTTGGGGACATCGGGGGACACCATAAGGACATCGAGAGACACCATAAAGACATCAAGAACCACAAAAACATGAGGAGAACATCAAGGGAACATCAGGAGAACATCAGGAGGGATCAAAGGGACGTTGGGGACATTGAGGGACACCAGGAGACACCATAAAGATGTCAAGAGACACCACAGGGACGTCGAGAAGCACAAGAACGTGAGGAGAACATCAAAGGAACATCAGGAGAACGTCAGGAGGGATCAAAGGGACGTTGGGGACATTGAGGGATGGTCCACATCTCCAAGGGCCACCTCAATGTCCTCAAGGGCCACCTCCACGTCCCCAAGGGCCACCTCAATGTCCCCAAGGGCCACCTCGATGTCCTCAAGACCCCTCTTCATGTCCCCAAGGGCCACCTCCATGTCCCCAAGGGCCACCTCATGTCCCCAAGGGCCACCTCTGCATCTCCAAGGGCCACCTCAATGTCCCCAAGGGCCACCTCCATGTCCATGTCCCCAAGGGCCACCTCCACATCTCCAAGGGCCACCTCAATGTCCTCAAGACCCCAAGGGCCACCTCAATGTCCCCAACCCCATCCCCATGTCCCCAAGGGCCACCTTCATGTCCCCAAGGGCCACCTCAACGTCCTCAAGAGCCACTTCAATGTCCTCAAGGGCCACCTCAATGTCCTCAAGGGCCACCTCAACGTCCCCAAGACCCCTCCTCATGTCCTCAAGGGCCACCTTCATGTCCCCAAGGGCCACCTCAACGTCCTCAAGAGCCACCTCCACGTCCCCAAGGGCCACCTCAACGTCCCCAAGACCCCAAGGGCCACCATTGGGGACATCAAGGTGACAGTTGGGGACACCACGGGGACACCGGGGGGGACACCAGAAGAACATGGGGAACGTCAAGAACGTGGTCTCAACGTCCCCAAATCCCCTCCCCGTGTCCCCAAGGGCCACCTCAATGTCCCCAAGGGCCACCTCCACATCTCCAAGGGCCACCTTCATGTCCCCAACTCCATCCCCACGTCCCCAAGGGCCACCTCAACGTCCCCAAGGGCCACCTCAACGTCCTCAAGGGCCACCTCAATGTCCCCAAGACCCCTCAGAGCCCCCTCCGCGTCCCCAAGGGCCACCTCAACGTCCACAAGGGCCACCTCAACGTCCCCAAGACCCCAAGGGCCACCTCAATGTCCTCAAGGGCCATCTCCACATCTCCAAGACCCCAAGGGCCACCTCAATGTCCCTAAGGGCCACCTCAACGTCCCCAAGGGCCACCTCAATGTCCCCGAGGGCCACCTTGATGTCCCCAAGGGCCACCTCAATGTCCTCAAGGGCCACCTCCACATCTCCAAGACCCCAAGGGCCACCTCAATGTCCCCAAGGGCCACCTCATGTCCCCAAGGGCCACCTCAATGTCCCCAAGACATCTCCAAGACCCATCCCCACATCTCCAAGGGCCACCTCAATGTCCCCAAGACCCCAGGTGCCACCTCCATGTCCATGTCCCCAAGTGCCACCACCTCGGTGTCCCCTCACCTGCCACACCCCCACCACGGCGTTGGCCACCAGGATGAGGAGGATGACGAAGGGCTCCAGTGCCACCTCCATGTCCTCAAGGGCCACCTCAATGTCCCCAAGACCCCAGGTGCCACCTCCATGTCCATGTCCCCAAGTGCCACCACCTCGGTGTCCCCTCACCTGCCACACCCCCACCACGGCGTTGGCCACCAGGATGAGGAGGATGACGAAGGGCTCCACGAAGGCCGTGATGGTCTCCTCCCCTTCTTCAAACCAGGCCAGGACCTGCAGGTGGGAGGTGGCCGTGTCACCATGGGACGAGGTGACATCTTGGGGGGTGTCCCCAAACCCCCAAAAATGTCCCCAAAATGTCCCCTCCCCCCCCCCCCC